TGATCTCTCATTATAAAAATCTGGTATTTTTCTGCCTTATTTTCTCTTTTCTTGTCTACCAGAAACCTGCATTCAGAAACCAACATTTTCAACATTTAAAGAAAAGAAAAAAAAATTTTAAATAAATGGAGGGATGGGGCTATGAAGATGGCAAGGATGGTAGAATGAGACAGACATTATTTCCCTATATACATGAATGATTGCACTACTGGAGTGACTCTGCACCATGTACAGCCAGAGAAATGCCATGCATAGGACAGTCATTTGAAAAAAATTAATAGAAGGCAATGTCCACTATCTTCTATGACACTGGAGTGGACTTGTCTGACTTCAGATCCTCTCCAAGTGGTTTTACAATGAAAAAAAAAAAAAACAGTGAAAATAAAGTATTTTGAAGAGATTAATTTTTTTCTAAATAATTAAAGCTGGGTTTCAATAAATAATGTTAATTACCTTTCCAAAGATATAGCTTTAGCCAGGATAGGGGGACACAGTTGTAGATATTTTTTAGGTTCTGTTACTACGGGTAAGTCACATTATGCTGAATAAGGATTAGGCTGTGTTCAGAAGCACAAAAAGTGAAGTGACCTTGAACTGATAGGTAAGAAAAATATGAGGAAGAATGTTGCAAGACATTTCCTCCTACCCCAGGAGAGAGAGAGAGAGAGAGAGAGAGAGAGAGAGAGAGAGATCCAAATCCTAATTCCTAGAACCTATGTTAAGTAACCCCCCCAAAAAAAATGTTGCAAGACTGTAGAATGAATCCGATATAACTTTTCTATGTTCACACATGAATACACAACCAGAGTAAGTCCACATCATGTACAACCACAAGAATGGTAAAATATAGTCCCTGTATGTATGACAAGTCAAAATTCTACTGTCATATATAACTAAAAAGAACAAATAAAAAAAGAAGAATGTTGCTATCAGTGATCTAATGCTGAAAATGACTTCATGTCATCAGAGAACATGTAAAATACAGATTTAATGAGCAAAATGTGACCAAAAATTCATGGATAATTTTGGAACAATTTTTTATTTTATAGTACTGGGAAGCACTTATAAAATCACCCACAAAACTTAAAAAAAATTACAATTTACTTTTTACTACAAAACTTACCAATCACTGTGTTTTATAGAGATTATTTCATTTGATCATCTGCTTATGGAATTTGGATATTTATTCATTTGTTAATAAGTCATAGGTAAGTAGAGATTTTTTGAGTAGTAGAATATATGTATGAGTTATGCTTTAAAAGAGTATGAGGGTCTGTTAATAGGTTAATGAGGAAATGGAGGCACTTAGTAGATAAAGAAAATTGAAAAACAGAATAATGGCATTCGAAATGGAAATGAGAGGATGAATTTCGCTATTTGAATGAAATGGACATGATTAAAGGTCAAGTGAGAATTAGTTCATTTTAGATGGTGGAGTTTGAATTTGTTGAATTGTGGCAAGGTCTAATCAGTTGGAAACATTCTAATTGAACATGATCTTTTATGGAATGCTGAGCATAACATGAAAGGAAGTTTGTAAGTTTGGTCCATTCGTCCTCACTTAAACTTGGCATTGGGGCCCAATAGAGTTAGATCATAAGAATCCTGATTGCCACTTTTCTCTGTCTAATCTTGGGCAATTTACTTAGCTACACAGATCCTTAGCATTCTTGGCTTACTATACAATGTCCATAATAACACCTTTAACGTGGAATCATTGTGCATCTTATATAGGGTAAATTGTGTGCCTTGGTAAAAATGAGTGCTCAATATATGGTAATTATTGATCTTGCCATACTTTATTTGCTTTATTCAACCTCATTCTCTCAAGAACGTACACTGGAATTTTCCAGTGGCTATCTGATGATATGATATCACAACAGATTGAATGAAGAATCAGGCATGAGAATCCTGCCTTCTGTTAAGTCAGGAATTAAAGAGATTTGCAAAAATTTAAACAATAATACTGTTAGATTAAAAACTACAAGGGCTGTTATTTTGGGATAGGTTCCTCCACAGACCAGGCTAAAAATCAAAATGGAGTCATTCATGCTAAAGTTCCATGTCACCAAACTGTAACTAAACTGTTTATCTGATCTTCAGAGAAATCAGTATTAGAGAGATAGTAGCCAAATTTCTCAACAGGTCAGTTTCAATTGGCATGATGAAGAAATTCCCTCTGTTTTAATACTTACACATAAAGGTAACCTGAAGTAACATGATGTTAACCTATCAGGTCTGTCTTCCTGCCCCAGGATCATAAGGAAAATAACTGAAATGAACTATCCTTTTTTTCAACTTTGTCTGTCTATAAAAAAAAAAAAAATCATCATGCTTTTCTGGGATCATTGGAACACTTATTCTATTTTATAGAATGAAGTGTTGCCCAAATCTAGGAACAAGAATAAAGTCAATTAAGATCTCTAAGTGAATTAGCCAATCCCAAAAAAACAAATTCCCAGTGATTTCTCTGATTTAAGAATGCCGATTCATAATATGCTGGGGTGGATGGGAGGATTAAATGAACTATCTA